TTGGTAGCATAAGGTCATGTTAGCTCTCTTGGCTGCTGTATTTCACTGTTGATTCAGGGAACTTGAAAAGTAAATGAAATAATATGTTGACTTTGTAAACTGTAAAGTGTTGTCCAGCTAGTTCCCAATTAGTACACTCAACCCTGTGAAGTGGTTGGTTGCATTGTTTGTATTCATCTGGCATATGATAGAGTGCTGGAGTCAGGGAGACCTGAATTCAGATCTGGCCTTAGACACTTACTAGCTGTGTGACCCTGGGCAAGTCACTCAACTTCTGTTTGCCTCAGTGTCTTCAGCTGTAAAGTGGGGATAATAATAACACCTACCTCACAAGGATCTTGTAAGGAACTACTGAGATATTTGTCAAAAAGCACTTAGCACAGTGCTTGACACATAATAGGCACTATAGAAATGCTTGCCTGTCAAGTCTCCATCCCTGTTGGAAAGGAATCAGTGACCAAATTGTACATAATTATATCTTGGAATAGTGTGAATTAGAATACATGGGACAACTTAATTAGATTCCTCTTGTACTAATCAGAACCTAGCTACATAAATATTAGTTGTTGGGTTTTTGGGTTTTTTTTTTTTCTTTTTTTTCGGTGAGGCAATCGGGGTTAAGTGACTTGTCCAGAGTCACACAGCTAGTAAGTGTTATGTGTCTAAGGCTGGATTTGAACTCGGGTCCTCCTGACTCAGAGGCCGGAGCCCTATCCACTGTGCCACCTAGCTGCCCCTATGTTAGTTGTTGTTGATGCTCCTACTGCTAAAATCCCCAATCTTTTTTTCTTTTCTTTTCTTTTCTTTCTTTTTTTTTTTTTTTGAGAAAATCGGGGTTAAGTGACTTGCCCAGGGTCACACAGCTAGTGAGTATCATGTGTCTGAGGCCAGATTTGAACTCCAGATCTTTTTTTTCAAATGAGCTGTTGTCTAACCATGCCGTATTTGTGAAATTGATTTTTTGAAGCCAAGTGTAAAATTTTATCCCTATTAATTTCATCTTATTAGATCTGGCCAAGTATTTTAACTTTCCAAGATCTTTTTGAATCCTGTCAGCCAGTGTGTTATCCTTCCCAGCTTGCCACCTGTAGGTTTTATAATTATGCTATCTATACTACTTTTTATCTAAGTCTAAGCTATTGATTGTTAATTAGCATAAGGTACCTGAGTCACGTCACTAGAAGGAGGAAGTTTGTAGTGCAGTGGAAAGAGCACTAAATTTGGCTTCAGATAACCTATATACAAATCCTATTCCTGCTTTTATTGCTTTTACCCTTTCTCATATATTAAATGAAGAGGTTTGGACTATATGACTTCTATGGTCCCCTCCAGCTCTAAATTTATGATCATAGCTGTGATCCCTGCAAGTTGACATCAAACAATTGAAGACTATTCTGTCACTCTAATTTTTCAGACAGTTCCAAATTTACCTAATTGTCCTGTCTTCTAATCCATATATTTTTATCTTGTCCTCAGAAGTAATTTGAAAGATTTTGTCACACACTTAGTTAAAATCTGGCTATTATATTGGACCTACAGTCTAGCCCTGTCAAAAAAGGAAATGATGTCAGTATGTTATAACCAGATGTGAAGCAACAATGTTTGTCATCTTTATGATCAACATTTAATTTCTTAGATGTTTACTCAATATATTTTTTTTTTTTCAGGCAATCAGGGTTAAGTGACTTGCCCAGGGTCACACAGCTAGTAAGTGTCTCAGACTGGCTTTGAACCCAGGTCCTCCTGAGTCCAGGGCTAGTGCTGTATCCACTGTGCCACCTAGCTGCCCTTTCAGTGTTCTTTAAATAAGATGTTCACCAGGAGTCAGAGTCAAGTTTACTGCTGCATTTTTGGTTCTTTTCCCTTTTTTAAAAATTGGGGTGATACTTGTCACTATTTGTAGGTTCCTCTTTTTGTCTTAACAATCTTTGAAAGATGCTGGCTAGTGGCTTAGCAGTCATGTTGGTTTGTTCTTTGATTTCCCTAGGGCATAGTTCATTTTGATTTTGGTGACTTGAACTCATTAAGGAGTACTATATTTCCCATTGTTATAGTGGTTATCAACTGCTTATTTAAAATTTTTATTCTATCCTTTGAATTCTCAAGAGCATTTTCTTTGACAGAGAAAACAGAAATAAAATTAGAATTGAATAGTTCTTTTTTATCTTCATAAACAGTTATTATCATCTCATCAACCCATAACAATGGTCATTTAAAAAATTATCTTTTTGACATTATGGCTAAGAACCTCTTCTACTTTTGCTGTCTTTAAGACTTCCTTGACGGCCCTAGATCATTTTGAACTTTTAGCACTCTTTTCATTTATTTCTATTTCTGCAGTATCTTCCATATCTGTCTTCCTCTTCTCTATTTCCTATCACCTTCGTATAATCTGTCACTACCATCTGCCTAGACTCTGCAATAACTTCCTAACATGTCTTCCTACCTCTCATGCCTGTCTACTATAATCCATTCTAAATATTGCTTCCAGAATAAGATTCCTTTTGCGTAGATATTAAAAAATCTTTAGTTCATACCTTTTGTCTGATTGACATATAAGTCCATCACAATCTGGTTTTATCCTACTCTTCCCAACTTATGTCATATGTCCATTATGCTATAAATAAAAAGCATGGACTACCACTCTCTGTCCCTTAAATATATTTTGTGTTTTCCTGCTTCCATGCCTTTGGTATTGTGGAATAGTAGAAACAGCAATTTTTTGGAGTTAGAAGATCTGAATTTGAGTCCTGGCTCAGATCACTCTTTACCCACTATTTGACCCCAAGCAAGTCAGTTAATATCCCTGGACTTCAATTTCCTTATCTATATAATGAGGATAATAATATTTTTACTGCCAACTCACAGGAATGTTATGATGGCAATCTGTTGTAAGTTTTTAAGCTCTATATGCATATTTTTTATAATTATTACTCACTGTTTTTTATTCCTAGAATTTCTTCCTTTCTTTTGTCTTTTGTATTCTTACCCTTCTGTTAAAGCTCCTGTCAACTGTCTGTTCTTCCCTGAAGCCTTCTTTGGTTCTCTCCCTAGCTCCCATTTAGAAACAACTCACCATCTCTTTCATCTACACAGCACTTTGTTTTGCAACTTTGTGGTATAGTCATATTCTTAGGATTATAGATAATAAATTCAGAGCTGGATGGGACCTTGGAGGTCATTATTATTTTTTATGGGCTATATCCCTTAACTAGACTAGAAGGTCCATGGGGAGGGACCATATATATCTTATCTAAACATTACCTGTATCGCCTCCATGATTAGGCACTTAGTAAATGTTTGTTGAATTATAATTAATTAATTTATTTTTAGTTTTCAACATTCACTTCCACAAGATTTTGAGTTCCAAATTTTCTACCCATCTATCCCCTCCCCCCACCCCAAGACAGCATGGATTCTGAATACTGCTTCCAATTTGTTCTTTCTATCACCACCCTCCCATTCCTCTTATCCCCTTCCCCCTTCTATTTTCCTGTAGGGCAGGATAGATTTCTATATCCAGTTGCCTGTATATCTTATTTCCCGGTTGCATGTAAAAACACTTTTTAACATTTATTTTTAAAACTTTGAGTTCCAGATTTTCTCCCTCTCCCCCTCCCCACCCAGCCTTACTGAGAAGGCAAGCAATTTGATATAGGTTATACATGTGTAGTCATGCAAAACACTTCCATAATAGTCATGTTGTAAAATACTAACTATAATTCCCTCCATCCTATCCTGCTCTCCCATTTATTCTGTTCTCTCCTTTGACCTTGTCCCTCCTCAAAAGTGTTTGCTTCTGATTACCCCCTCTTCCTATCTGCCCTCCCTTCTATCATCCCCCCATCTTATCCCCTTTCCCCCTATTTTCCTGTAGGGTAAGATAGATTTCCATACCCAATTGACTGTGTATGTTATTCCCTTCTTAAGCCAAATCCAATGAGAGTAAGATTCGTTCATTACCTTTTACCTCCCCTCTCTTTCCCTGCACTGTAAAAGCTTTTTCTTGCCTCTTTTATGTGAGATAATTTACCCCATTTTATCTCTTCCTTACCCCATTTTTTTCTCCTCCTCCCAGTACAGTTCTCTCTCACCCCTTAATTTTATTTTTTACATATCATCCTTTCATGTTCATGTTTGTTGAATTATAGTTGGATATGTAATATTCAAGATGACTTCAGAAAATATCTTGAGACAAAAAAATCCAAACTAATAACTAAAAGTATGTCTCACACCCTGCATCCTAATTTGTTTTCTGTAGTGGGCAGCAGACAGTAGTCATCAAGATACTGTTTTGGGCCAACATTAGTAATTTAGTATGCAGCGTTTGATTGTTCCTTTTCAGAAGTCCACATTAATGGCCTAGTAATTTGTTTTTCTGACTTTCCCATGAAGTATAAAGCTTGTTTACAGGTAAATCTTGTGGGAGTTTAAAGTGAAAGAATGATTAATGTAATTCTTTCCTGGAAGCATACTTAAATATGATACTGAACAGTTGCACTTGAATTTTCAATATGGATGTACCCTGCATGAAATCTCATTAATGAGTTATCTCACTGGTATACAATATTAATTAGAATAGTGACAGGGATTAGATCCATGATTTCATTTGGTATAGGGAACTCGTTTCAACAGTGCAGGGATGCAATTTATAGTTTTAGAGAGTTCTGTAGGGCTTTGAAAGATTAAGTGATTTTCTAGAGTTACAAAGCCATTGTGGCAGGTCTTTCAGATTCCAAGGTCAGGTCTCTCTCTAACCACTATGCTGTAAACACATTCTAATCATTTTTAGTACCATAAAATTTTATCTCTCGGTTTAGATGCATTCCTTCTCAAGGACAGGATAGACATTAGTACAACACGGCCTCTTATTTGTAGGAGAAGCATAGACATCTCTTAGTCTCTTATTTAGGAAGACATAATTAGGACATAGTTTTAATTTTGTAGTCAAGAAAAATTTGCATTGATTAATATGATTAATGCTTGGTATCTTATTACAGTGTTGGGAGAGGGATTGGCCAAGGGAGATGGCTCATTTCGAGCAGTGCTTTGTTGCATGCATCTTAAAGGAAAACTCCAAGTTGTCTCTAATGTTCTTTCCAAGTCACTGATGGGAGAGTCTCTGGTAAGTTGATGAGATCTAATTTGCTTTCCTCAAAACTAATTCATGCTTAACTTTTGTCCTAGGTTTGTGGGACTCATTCCAAGGGCTGGAGAGGTGATCTGGCTCTCGTACCACTTCTCTAACATTTAGCAGCAAATGCTCTCTAAAAGAATAGTTATGTAGTAGTTACTAAAAGATGAAAACAAAACTAATACACAACTCTTATATATTCCAGTGGCATTTATCAGTTAATCAGCAAGCATTCCTTAACTGTTTACCATATGCCACGGATTGTACCAAGCACTGGTGATAAAAAATTTATACCCTTCAAGAGCTTACATTCTAATGGGTGAGACAATATACGTATATGTATACACACACACACACACACGTGTATGTACTCACATAAATATACATATATACCCACATACATACGCATGCTGCTGTTGTCCAGCGTTCTTGAAGAGGACCATGACATCAGGGAGGTGATACCATGATATGCAAGTGAATTGGATTTAAGTGAGGGAAGGCTGTGCAAAGTCACCAGCCTCACTTTCTCCTCTACAGCCATCTGAATCTAGTGGCCAGATATAGATCAGGACAACTGGAGATGGCCCAGGAGGCAATGGGGCAACTTGGCCTTTTCAAGCTGAGGTCTTTAACAGATCTCAGTTTGACTGAGGCAGCCCCCGTTTGGTGATTAAGGTTTAATAAAAAATGAGGCAAATAACGACCTCTTTAAAAAAAAAACAGATCTGGGAGGGAATACCCTCAGGTCAACTTCCAGTTGGGCAACATGCTTCCTTCTCTCCTTCCTTCCTTCCTTCCTTTCTTCCTTCTCTTTCTCTTCTTTTCTTTCTCTCTCCACATAGGGTATTACACCATTACCTGCCAGTTCTCTTCCCAAAGGGAATGTAAATTTTAATCTCAGAATCTTTTTTTGTTAACACCTCATCACTCTGGTGTCAGATCCAGCCCTACTTGGTCACTGTTTGGGCCCTGATTGGCTCAGAATGTGCTTCAGGGGTGGGGAACCAGCAGCCTCTGGGCCACTTGAGGCTGCATGTTTCGACTGAATCCAAACTTCACAAAACAAATCCTCTTAATAAAAGGATTTATTCTGTAAAACGTGGACTCAGTCAAAAGGCCTCACCAATGACCTAGAAGACCACATGTGGCCTTGAGACCACAGGTTCCCCACCCCTGTGCTGTTAGGTGCTGTGATGAGTATTTGAATACAACTGTAAGCTACATACATAGTAGATGGGAAGGTAAACTTAAGTAGTTCTTACCTCATAGGGTTTTGACACTTGAATGGTATAATGTATGTGAAGTACATAAATGTACAAGATATGTGCAGAATAGATGGGACTTAAGCTTCAAATGTAAAGTAGTAGCAGCATGGAGGCCCAGGAAAAGCCTCCTGGAGAAGGTGGCACTTGAGCTGAGTCTTGAAAGAAGTCAGGAATTCTAAGAGTGGGGATGATCAGGGAAAACATTTCAGGAGGTGAGACTGGAGACTATATAAGGCATGGCAGATGGTCAGTGCAAATGCATGGAGATAGGAGATAGAGTGTTATGTGTGAGGGATAGCAAGTAGGCCAATGTTATTGGACTACAGAGTGAGTAGAAGGAATATATGTAGGAAGACCGGAAGCCTAAAAAGGGGCCACTTTATGAAGAGCTTTAAATGTCAACTAGAAGAGGATTTACTTAGTAGGGAGGTAAGTGACATGGTCAGACTTATGCTTTAGGCCAACTACTTTTGGCAACTGTATGGAGGATGGGTTGGAATGGGGAAATTCTTGAGGCAGGGAGTCCAGTTAGAAGTCTATTGTATTAGTACAGGTGGAGATAATGAGAATGTGAACTAGGGTGTTGTCTGACTGAAGAGATATTGTGGGGGAAGAAATCACATTTGGCAGCCAACTGGATATTTGTGATGAATGAAAGTGGTGAGTGAAGAATGACAGTAACTGGAAGCATAGTGATGTCTCAGAAAGTAACAGAAAAATTTGGAAGAGGGGTAGGTTCTTGGGGAAAGATAATGAATTTACTGAGTTTGAGATGAAGGGTATGCATTGTTGAATGAGATGAATTATATCTGTGAACCTCAGAATAAAGTAAGTGCAGGGAGTACAAAATCTGCTAATGCCTCCTTGGCAGATTTTTCCTGATTGAGGGACACAATTCTTTGAGCTTGAGAGTTTGTGTTCCTCTGCCAGCTTTTTCCATGTTGCTTGTAAGCCCCAATCTCCAGGTGAAGTTCAAATGATGATTCTGGTAGCAATGTATTTGAATGAAGAAGAAGCTCTAGTTCTGTTATCAGACCTAATCAATAAGATCCCTGCTCTTCAGATCTTGAAGATTTATAAGTGTTAATTAGTTAGAGTATATGTGCCTCGGCCCATGGATAGGCTTTTCCACATTATCATTGGTCTTTGACCCTCAGTGGCAGTAGATATAGGTGCCTCTTGTTTGGGAAGTGGGAGAGAGGGTGAAAGGATACTGTGATGGATTGGTTCCCATAATTAATCCAAGGATGATATATGGACAGGTACATTGGGAGATGGTGGTTATCTCATGATGGGCTGTCTGCTCGGCTTGGATATTTATAAATATCTTGAGAATGACCTCAAAAAATAGATGCTGTTATCTTTGGGGTGGAGAGCAAGGGACATAAACTTTTTCACAAGATGAAAGAAAAAAATCTGTTGAATTTTTGAGCAAATTTCTGAGGGTTCAAACAAATGTTTCAAAGAAAATTGTTAAGTCAGTGTGCAAGTGAACAAATCTTGAATTTTTGAAAATTATGAGTGAAGTAATTTGAAAATACAGAATATAGTAGTATGAAGTTTTTATTCTATATGCATAATTAGTAAAACATCAAAATTAATATTTAGGTCATTTTAATATGTAGTTTGGTTAAAGTCTTTTCATGCTGTTAAGTAACATTTCCACTTATTTTTGAAGATATTATTCCAACCAGTCAGTACTTATAGTTAACTTTTCAAAAATCGTAATTGTTTTACTTATTTTCTAGAGTAGGGATTTTAAAGTTTTTTTTGTGTAATTGTTCCCCTTTGATAGTCTGGTGAAATCTATGGACCTTTTCTCAGAATATGCTTTTTAAATCAGGAGTTCTTAACCAGAGTCTGTGAACTTGTTCTTTAATTATTTTAATAGCTATATCTCATTATGTTTGATTTCCTTTGTAATCCTAATTATTTTATTTTATGTATTTAAATACATTCTGAGAAGGGGTCCATAGGCTTCATAAGACTGACAAAGTAGTTCCTGATACAAAAAAGGTTAAGAAACATTGTTTTAAATGTATAAAATAAAATATATAGGATTGCAAAAAAATCCAAATTATGATGAAATGCAGTTTTTAAAAAAAAATTCACATACCATCAAAAGTTCACTTCACCAAGGGTTAAGAACGCTTGCTCTGCAGTTTTTAGTCATTTCAAAAAAATATGCAAATACTTTATAAATTTAAGTGGTTTTTGTAATCATCATCATTATTATTGAATGGCATATGTAATGAACAAACTTTAAAATTGTTAGACAACAAGGGGAAGAAAAAAGTATTACTTTTTATACTGTTTGCTTCACTGAAACTTGCTAATGTTTTTCAGTTCTCTGGGGAAATGGCGAAGAAAATTATTGTTAATTACATAATATGTGATTCCATTATTGATATCACAAGACTTAGTACCAGAGTAGGGATTTGAATCCTTCCTCTTTGATTCTATATGTAGTTCACTTTTTATTTTTTCTTTTCTTCTGAACTGATGTGAATTTTTTTGGAAATAAATTTGGAAATCTTGGGCAAAGTTGTTTTATTCACTGGAATACAACATATTTACTTTAAAAGTAGAAAAATTAGAAAAGTGCCTAAAGTCTTGTTAACTAGAATGCTACTCATGAAAAGTTAATAATATTGCTTGGGTGGAGTAAGTAATTTTTTAAGGTGCTTGGTTATTAGACACTGTAAAGATCTTTTGTTCAGACTGGCATTGTCTATTCCTTTTACCAATTGGACAAAAGAATTTAAAAGATAAAATTTGTTCCTTTGGCTGCAGTTGTTTTATTAGAAAATAAAATGGATATTCAACTATTAGAAGTAAATTGCGAAGTATTTTCAAATATCCACACTATTTTGAACCCTGAGAACTTTTTTGTTTAAGCATACTCAGTTAGATTGTAGCTGCATTTATAATTGATTTTTATTCAGAATTTTCATTCAAAATTATTTTATTTCAAAGGAAAATCATCTGCTTCTGAAGTAAAAGTTAATTATGAATCTCAATGAATTGTTTATGTAATATAATCTCTTTCCTAACGATCCGTAGATAAAACTGTGTGAATTTCTTCCATGACCCTTTCTTTTGATACTTAAATATTTTTAGATGTAACATAATTTTGCAAATATCAACCTTTTAATAAGATAAAGGACCCAAACTTCTAAGATGCTTCCCCACCCCTCCATCCCCATTCTTTCATAATTTTGGCCTTGTTTATATTGTTTTGTCTTGGTCTACAGTGATAACTGTTTTTATTTCCCATTTAATTTTAAATTCCTTTGCAAAATGTGAAACTGTTTTGCTTACTAGGTAAATATATCTGATATTTGCATCATGTCTATATTTTCATAAATCGTTATGATATAGGGAGGCAAATTGGAGAACCAATTGAAGAATTAATCTTGATGTGATGTGGAAAATAGTAAAGAACTATCTGTTGATAACTTTCCCTCTTCTCCTTTTTCCTTTTTTTCCTTTGACTTCTGTTATCAGAATGGAATGGCAACAAAAGATTTGACAAGACTAAAGACACTTCTCATTGAAACAGAGGTAAGAATATTTGCAGAAGTTTTCAGGGGAAAATTTTGCTAATTTTGATAGTAGACTTTTTGTATTGAATCATTGGGAATCACAGTTTTATCTGTGTCTGCTAAGAGAGTGGTGAGAAGTCATTTGTTTGTATTGAGGGCAACTTTATACCTTTCATACCTTTCAGCTATGTTTGGCCGCATTCTAGAAACCTCAGTTCTCCGTAAGACCAGTGTTTCTTAGAACTCTTTTGTTTATGTTTGCATCCTGTTAATCCTAAAGCTGGTTAGGCAATTGTTGATTATTCTTTCTGCTATTTAGATTTTGGTTTTACTCTATGGCCTGAGGATCTCTGGGCCTGCAAGCCCTGAGCTTAGAGAAGAGATTGGTCAGGTAGAGCAAGCAGTAGAAGTTTCAGTTGGTGACAAGGTGCCCAGAGACCTGTACTTAAAATGTGTATTGAATAGAATTGATATACTCTCAATTCAGTCAGATGGGGCTCTATGCTGGGAAAAATAAACAGAATTAAGGCGATAAGGCTTGTTTCTTTATCTCTCTGTGTCTGTCTATGTAGATGTATCTCTTTCTCTGTCTCTGGTGGCAGGTCAGCCAAGTCATCTATCTGGCAGCTATGTCTTTCTGTCTCTCCATGTATAAACATACACATGTATAGATATGTATGTAGGCATATATAACTATATACTTACATATGTTTATATATACGTGTCTATACACAGATGGGTGTGTATATATATACATATATTTACATATATGTGTATATGTATAAATTTTATATATATATGCATATTTGCACTTGTATATTGACCTAGATCTGTGATTTAAAAATGTGTAGTTATTAAGTAGAGGTATAGTGGTCATATCATAATTACATATAAGGCATTGCAGGCTCATGGCAAAGACTTTGCTTTTTCTTTATACAAATTGGGTAGTTTGATGACTTGATGTACCTCTTATGTTAGTTTGTCTCCATAAACTCACAATTGACTTGGATTTCCAGCTGTTCTGGTAGAAGATTCAGTGTGGGTGTTCCTGGGAACAAGTAGATGGGTTATAGAATGTTCAGTGAAGGGGTAGTATTCCTGCTTTACTCTGCTGAAAAATGACCTTTTAGTCTTGATATTAGGATAATTCTTCATCAGTGAGTAGAAAGGGTTAATGGGTAAAAAGTGTTTTTGTTAATTAACCTCAAGGCCTTATGGTAGTGCTAGTTACAATAGGTGTAGCGGAATTGGGAATACTTTTTGTCCTCACCGACAGTTAGCTCATGCTAAGTCAGCCATTTGGTCCCTGCCTTGAGAAAGGGGAATCCAAGTGATCTCCAGGGTGAGGAAGTCACTGTGCTCCCTCATTTAAACTCATAAGGGTTATTCCTCATGAGTCTAATTTGGAGAGGTTATTCCTCCATTCATCTGGGATCACTTGTTACAGGGTACCCCAAAATTTCATGAGCAGCTAATCTGAGGCTCAGTGGACTGATTTGCTTCTCTTAACTATAGACTAGTGAGGCATTTGAGTGGGAAGAGCTGTGTAAGTTATAACACATTGTAATCACCATTCGAGATAAGGTATCCACAAGATGGCCCTTGTGGGAAGCAAACAGAATCCTGGGGGAAATTACTCAGAGTCAAATCCATAAGTGAATCTTAAGAAATTCACAAGAAAGTGTTTCTAGCAACTAGTAATTGTAATAATAACTGATATTTATATAGACTTGAAGGATTATAAAAGACTTTTTATATACTATCTTATGAACTAATCAAATTAGGAACAAAGAATAGGCAGAGGAAATCCAAGGAGTCATAGCTGCCTTAGCTAGCAACATCAATGCCTCATGGTCAGCTTAGCAGTACCCTTTGCTCCGGGTGGATGCCTGCAACCTTTAGCAGTATAAGTGTGTTAAATATGTGAAAATGTTGACAAGGGAAGGTGGGACCTGGTGAAAGATACTTTTGTGCTTTGGGTTGGTGAAAACAAACAAGGAGACTGGTGGGCAAGGGAGAACAGCCTCAGGAATTTTTGGGGTCATTGTTTGCATGACTGTTTGAGCTTGTTTTTTGTTAAGCAACTGCATCTATATAGATCACAAGAGACACAGGACATTTTTTCAGTTTTATTTTTATTTTTTATTTATTTTTCACTTTATTTATTTATTTTAGGCAATTGAGGTTAAGTGTCTTGCCCAGGGTCACACAGCTAGTAAGTGTCAAGTGTTTGTTCTGAGGCCGGATTTGAGCTCAGGTCCTCCTGACTTCAGGGCTGGTGCTCTATCCACTGCACCACCTAGCTGCCCCTCGGTTTTATTTTTAAAATAAACCTCATATACATTGATCACAGTAAACAGTATTCATTCATCTTTACCCTTTTATAAAATGTTTGATCATTTTCAAGTTTACAAGTATATTAATTGATTTATTTTTTCTTTTTAAAAGGGGAAGATCTTTGGTAACATGTATAGTAAAAAACAAGGAGAAAAAGATGTGTATGTGTTGATGAGTTATTAGGTCTCTTTCGTCTCCCTTTTAAATTTCTTTTTTTCATTATCACTACTTTGATTTATTGAGATAAGCTAGTACATCCTAAGTAGCTTCACAGAACCACAGAATTTGAGAATTGGAAGGAACTTCAGGGGCTATCTCCTCTAAACCATACCTGAAAGGAATTTCCATTATGTCACATCTGACAAGTGTGTCTAACTTTTTTTTGAAGACTTCCAATGAGAGGAAATTTGTCAACTCTTGAGGCAGTCCATTCTTTCGGATAATAACTTTTACCAATTGCTTGTGGTTTTGCCCTCTGGGATGAAACAGTATTTATCTATTCCTTTTTCTACATAATGAAAATGAAATACCTGAAGAGAACTATATACCCTTTTCTATAGACTAAGCAACCCCAGTTCCTTCAACTGAGTCTCATAAATGACATGGACTCAGGGACATTGAAGCCAGGTGGCTTGAATTCATCAAGGGTGCTTTTTTATTATCATTATCTTGGGTCTCCACTCCTTGTTAGCCATTGTAGCTTAGTTGTCTTCCTCTGGATGCTTTTCACTTTATCAGTGATCTTCTTTAACTGTTGCACAAAGAACCAAAGACAATACTGTAGAGGTGTTCTAAATAGAATTAAGTACAGAGGAGTTATGATCTACCTCTTCCTTTAAGCTGTGCTTCTTTAAAAGTCAACCAGTTATTTAGTTTGCTAATCAACAGTTCAGCACCTACTTTTAATGTCTTGTTTTCTCTAATTAGAATAATATTAGTATTTGTCAGTCAGACATATGATATACTAAAAACCAAAGCACAGTTAACATTAAAAAATTAAAACACCCATCAAAGATAATAAAAAGGTCACTTATATTATTGTGCCTGACACTTTAAAAAATAGTAAAATTTGTTATTTAAAGAAAGGGCTTTGTTGCCATATTTGAATGGATGAATTAATGAACAAACATTTATTAAGAGCCACATGTCAGGTAGTATGTTAGGCTCAGGGGATACAAATAAAAATATAAAACAATCCCTGTTTTAAAGGAGCTTACATTCTGTCAGCAGAGACAATATGTATATCTGAAAGTAAATACAGATTAAATATAAAGAGACTAGGGGCAGCTAGGTGACGCAGTGGATAGAGCGCTGGCCCTGAACTCAGGAGGCCCTGAACTCAGGAACACCTGAGTTCAAATTCAGCCTCAGACCAAACACTTGATACTTACTAGCTGTATGACCCTGGACAAGTCACTTAACCCCAATTGCCTAAAATATATATATATGTATGTATATGTATATAAAAGAGACTAAATACAAGGGAGGTAGTTAGTGTATTCTTTCTGTAGCATTTGGGGAGTGTGTGTGTGTGTGTGTGTGTGTGTGTGTGTGTGTGTGTGTGTGATTCAGAAAGTATTGTCCTGGATTCACTTCTCTCAGGGTTTTCTTTTTCTTTTTTTGGTATTGATTTAAAAAAATAAACTTCGATATAAAATGAGAATAGAAAAAAAATTTGCCACGTACCCAGTAGAACATGAGAGGATTCAATATAAAACAATAAATTTCTATTTCAAGAAAGCCTATATAATAAATACTATACTTTGTTTTTAAAGCTGCCTAGCTTTTCTTTTCTTCCTTGTAGGTTTTCTTTTGTTCTCTGCTGTGCACTTTTTACTTTATTTTTTCTCTCCTGTATCCTCTCCAAAGAGAGCTACAATTAAGAGCTGAGATATATATATATACACACACATAGAAAATCTGTAAACATACACATATATACAAATATACGTAAAACTACATATATTAGTCCTATCCTTATTTCCACTTTTCATCCATTTCTCTGAAGGTGGATAGCATCTTCCTTCATAAGCCAAATCTTTGCATGTTTTTCTGAATCAACCAGCTTATCATTTCCTACATCACAGCAGTATTCCAACACAATCATATCCTATCTGAGAAAGTTTTCCCCCAATTTTCTGCATTCCTTCTATTCTTGGCTGCGTAGGTTTTTATTTATGCAAGAAAATTTTAATTTAAAGTAATCAAAATTATCCATTTTACACTTCCACAATGCTCTCACCTTATAATATAGTTTAAGGTCTGTTACTACTGATTCTGCTTCTTTTACATTTTTTACCCCTGGTTTCTTTGAAGTTCCTGACCTTTCATTCTTCTAAATGAACTTTGTTTGTTTCTAACTCATTAAGATAATTTTTTAGTAATTTAATTGGGATGGGATTAAATAAATAGATTAATTAGGTAAAATTGTCATTTTTTTTATATTGACTTTACCTACCCATGGACAATAAATATTACTTCAGTTATTTAGATCTGACTCCATCCGCATAAAAAGTGTCCCGTGTTTATATTCACATAGTTCCTGTATCTGTTTTGGCAGGTATACTTCTAGGTATTTTATACTGTCTAGCCATCTTAAATGGTCCAAAACAACATTGAACAATATTGCTGACAGTGCAATTTCCGCATCCCTCTCCTTTGACTCCGAGCATTTTCTTGAGTCTATTCTTTATTGCTGGTGCTCCTTTCATGTCATACGCCCTAACCTTGAGTATCCTTCAAGTCTCTTTCCTGAAAGTTCCTCTTTTTCTATACTATGTTATCTCAGAGCATTAGCTTCTGTTAGTTGTTATCTCCATGCAAATGATTCCCAGACCTTTATATCTAGTCCTGGTCTCTCACTTGCCTGAGCCACAGTCCTGCCTTGTAGATATCTCAAACTGCATATCTTGTAAGTATTTCAAACTCAGCATATACCAAACAGAGCTCATTATCTCCCCCCTCCCCCAATCCACCCCTCTTTCTAAATTCCTTATTATTGTTGAAGGTACTACCTTCTTCTAACCTTGGCTTACACCCTTACATCCTTGGTTTTTCACTCTCACTTCACATGTCCACTCTGTTGCCAAATCTTATCATTTCTGTCTTCATAACTTTTGTATCTATCCTCCTCTCTCCACTCAGTCTACCACCACCTTGTTTCATGCTCTCATTGTCTCTCTCCTGGATTATTGATTTCATTAGCTTTCTAATTGATCTGTCTCCATGTCTCTACCTACTCCAATCCATCCTCTACTCAGTTGCCAAAGTGGTTTTTCTAAAAAATAGGTCTACCTGTGTCATCCCTGTACTCAATAAACCTTAGTGGCTACCTGTTACCTTCATTATTAAATATAAAATCCTCTGGCATTTCAAGCTCTTCCTAACTTAGTCCCTTCCATCTTTCCAGTCTTCTTATGTTTTATTACTCTACATGCACTTTATGATCTAGCTACTCTGTTCTACTTGTTTTTCTTTACACCTAACTCTCTATTTCCTATCTCTATATGTTCAAATTGGATGTCCCCCATCCCAGGAATGCTTTTCCATTTCACCTTCTCCTCTTTGGTTCCCTGGCTTCTTTCATGACTCAGCTCAAATTTCACCTTCTGCAGAAGATTTTGCACAATCTACTCTTCCCTCTCAGCTGCTAAGGCCTTTCCACTTGAGATTACCTTCCATTTACTCAGTGTTCACCTTGTATATACCTATTTATTGACCTACTGTGTCCTCTATTAGATTGTGTGCTCCTTGAGGTCAGGACTGTTTTTCCTTTGTTTTTTTGATATTCTAGGCACTTAGAATAGTGCCTGGCATATAATGAGATTTTTAACTGACTGAAAACTCAGAGAGTAGAGAATTTCCAGGAAGAGGATTCTCAACAATGTCACATGTGGCAGATATGTCAAGAATGATGAAGACAAAGGCAATTAAGCTAACTTTGAAGAGAGCAGTTTCATTTGAGGGTCATATTTAGAAGCCAGATTGCAAAGGGTTGAGGTATGAGTTAGAGAAGAAAAGGAGGCATTGAATGTAAAGAGCTTTTTCTAGAAGTTTGGCTAAGAAATGGAGAAGAGATATAGGATGATGATAGTTTGAGGGAATTATAGGATTTAGTGAAAGTTTTTTTTTTTTTTTTTGAAAATTTTTAAAGGATGGAGAAGCCTTGAATGTGCTTTAGGGTAGGAGATACAGAACCAGAAAACAGACATTGAAGATTAGAAAGAGAGATGGGATGATTGAAGGTGAAGTCTTGGTGAAAATGAGAGGGATTGGAGTCAAGGATGCATGGCAATCATAAGGGCCACCTTATTTTTAGAGATTAGAGAATAGAGGTAAAAATAGTGAATGAAGATAAATATCTGTCACTAGAGACTACTTAGTGATGGTTCTTTGTTAATTGATATATTTTCTAATAATTTTTTTAGTGTTTAATGGAATCTAGCAATATGATATTTTACTGTCTTTAGAGAAGTATTATATAATAACTTAGTTAAGGCATCATTCTCCAGCTAACATCTCTAGGTAGTCTAATTTGTGGTGTTCTGATCATTCAAAAAATGGTGTTTAAAAAGCCCCCAAATCCCCCAACTTTGATAATGAAAGAGTAAGCAGAAACAGGGTATCATAATCACTTTAATAGATTGTCCTAATAAGGGTAGACATCCCATCAGTTAAACTGCAATGTTGAGCACAAAAGTATCAGCATGTATATAATCTACAGATTTTCTGATCATTGATCAACAATAGTTAATGCGCTTTAGTACACTTACCATGCATGTTTCCTTTTTAAATCATTATCCTTCTAACCAGTGTGGCATGATGGAAAGAGAGCTGGTCTTGGGATCAGAAAGACCTAGGTTCAGACCTGTCTCTAATATGTGCTGGCTGTGTGCTCTGGGCAAGTTATCTTCTCAATTTTCCAGGGAAATCTCTAAGACTGTATGTTTCAAAGAAGGTGCTGATCTAAATTGGTAGAGATGTTTTTCTCTAGGAGTTCCCTATACTGATGAAGACACAGGTCCATTAAAGAAAATAGGCTTTATGTTTTGATAAAAGAGAGTTTATTTTCATTCAAATGTCATACTATTTCATTGGATAAAATTTTTTAAGAAAAGTTTTTTAAAGAAAAAAATCAAAGAATCCAATGATGTACATATATAAAGTGAATTTATGCACAAAACAGTGCCTTGAATATATGAGTATACCTCACTTTGTGCTACTGATACATTTCTTTAACGTTTTATGGCAATTTAATCATATATTTAATGGATTATGAGAGCTTCCTACTTAAGGAGATCTTGTAAATCTTTTTGGAATGCGTAGAATCCATTGTAATGTGAATACTCTTAATTTATTTGTAAGCTCAGATTTTCTGGTAACGCCTATATTAAGAATTTTTGCATATTCCCAAAGTTCATTTGTAAGTCAGTTCAGAATTTGAAATACATTTTTCTGTAACTACAATGCTCTAAATTGTGGTTGGGTTTAATTATATGCTTGAAATACAGACTTAAAATAAGATATATGTTACGTACTTTGAAAACCCCAAAGCATTATATGTAGGTTTATATATTTATAAGTTATTATCATTATCATTCCAACCATTTATAACTAACATTTATAACATTATTTCTATGGGAAAATATATTCTGAATTCTACCTTGACATCTTCTCCTTTCCAGTGGTTGCAACGTCTTCTGTGGCAGGGGTGTGGGTACTGGAATTTGTTATTTCCCTATAACAGAACTATATATAATAATAACTCTGCAGGTTCTATGAATTGGGGAACAAAGGGCAGTTTCTCCTCTGAGACATTACTTCCCTGTTGCTGTAATGGACATTTGTAAAGCAGAAATTGCTTGTATCCATTTTTCTCTTTTTAATGAAGGCTGCATCTTCTTGTAGTAAATTTCTTTTCAAATATAATTCAGTGCATTATAACATAGAGAGAAGGTATTGTAGAATCAGGTGAATGATTTAAATTTCTAAGCAGAAACTTTTGTGTCGTAATTATAGTCTTCATGTTAACAAACCTTTCTCTTCCCCGTAGATCTGATGATGCATCAAAACTGTAATTTCAGAATTTTAAAATTGTATTGCTTTTCAAACTACTTTCTCTTTAAAAAAAATTACAGACAGCAACTAGCAAAGTCCCGTCTGAATATCATGTGGAAGACTTAGAAGAAGGTAAGGACAAATTAAATAAATCTCAGCTAATCTAGGCTTTTTTTGGGTTTTCATTATCAAGGAGAAATTTATTGAGATATCATATATTAAGTAGAGAATGTATTAGAAATTTTTTTGGTCCAGACCTTTGATTTCACTGGTGTAGGTAATTTACAATGTAGGAACTCCCTCCATCGTTGCAGTTTGTCTGTAACTTTTAGAGTTTCTTTAGAGAGTTGCCTGGATGATTGAGAAGTTAAATGATTTGCCTCTGGTTACATAACCAATATTTGTGAGATGCAAGCCTTGAATCCATTTCTTCCTGACTCCAAGGCCAACACTGTGTCCACTATGTCACTATGGAAAATATTGAATAAATTCTATTCAAAGAATTAGTGTGGATAATAGAGGGTTTTCCCTCGATTTTTTATGGAGTAATAGAGGTAAAAAAGAACTTGAAGTCATCTAATTTCATATACCTGTGTCCTAAATTACAGAGCTACTTTTAAACCTTACCTCCAGTTTTCTGTCTTACCTAATTTATTACTTTTAAGAAGTTCCTCCTTATATAATAACTGCTTACATTGATATGGAGTTTTACAAAGTACTTTACTCACAATAGCCCTGGTAGGTAGGTAACATAAATATTATTATCTCCATTTTATAAAAGAGGAAACTAAGTTCTGGAGAGGTTACTTGGGTTCCAAAGAAAGAAAGAATACCCGAAAAGCCATCAGACACTTGAACATTTTTACCTGCTTATTCTTTTTCTCAGCACCATTTTCTTTAATCTTTGTACTTAAGTTCAGTTTTGACTGGCCTAGTTTTGGAACCTTTACTTTATAATTGTAACACATAAATAAATCCTAGATAACATGGACTCCTAATATTGAGGGTTGCTTATTGCTTTGTGTATGAAACTTTTTCCTTTCAGAAAGAGCTTTCAGTAAAGAAGTATGAAGTACCTAAATTATGTCAGGTATCCTAACCTTTTTTTCCAAAGATCTAAGGAAGAGGCTTTGAACAAGAACTAAATCAGCTATTTTATAGTACAGAAGGCTAGTAAAATGATGTAATTTCTATGGAGCTTATTCTAAGTTATTTCTTGTTGAATGTTTTTTCTCCTACTTGAGTGATTTAATTCCATTGATCTGTAGGTATATTTTCAATAGAGGCAGTTGTTCCATATCATATTTTTGCATCATCTAGAAAGGTGATTCTAGAGGCAGTACGTTTTTTTACATCAAAATATTGAAATTATTAGCAAGTGCATAATAAAAAAATGCATATATCCTGATCATTCTTCAGGTTCTCGGAATGGTTGGCATTTCCGCCCTCCACCTAGAGGAATCACCAGCAGTGAGGAGTATACTTTGTGTAAAAGGTAAAATGGCAAGTAGTTTTTTTAAAAAAAAATTAATCTTTTATGCTTAGTTCTTTTCCCTGTTTCTTTGAAAATCAGTAATTCAATGACTGTGCAACTGTAGGCAAATCACTTAAACTTTCAGTGCCCCAAGTACTCTTAAGTTGCTGATCTTCTTTGGTCAAGTTACATCCAAATTTTTTTGACCATGCCTCTCTGTCACTAAAAAAATTTTTTGAATGTTTACTTCCAATATGTTTATGTTTATTTATTTATAAATAAAATACAAATACTACTATGCTAATTATTATCATTAGAAAATTTATACATAAATACAAATTTTTAAAAGATGAGATAGAGGTAAAATAATATTTGATCCTAGAGGCATTAGGCAGCCAATGGGGGCAATGACATTTTAGCAAAACCACTTTTGTAACTCTTTGGAGTACGTAGAGACTTGAGGCAGGAAGACCAGTTAGGAGAATATTGCAATAGTCCTGATGAGAGATGATGAGGGCCTTGACCAAGGTGGTGTCTTTATGAATATAGAGGAAGGGGATAGATGCAAGAGGATAGATATTGTGGAGGTAAAACATTTGGCAACTGATTGGATATGTGGGGTGAGTGAGACTGAGAAGTTGAAAATGAGGTCAAGATTTGAATTTGAGTGACTGGAAGGATAAGGTTGCCCTTGATAGAAATAAGAAAGTATAGAACAGGGGTGACTAGGGGGGTGGGAGATAAGTGATAGAATGAGAGGCAGATGACAACTCACTCATGCCTGCCCCACCCAAAATGAAATTGGGGTGAAGAGTCTGGCTCTTACTGGTCACTGATCTAGAAACACAGACCTTCCACGTTCTTGCTTCCAGCTGTCAGGTGACCTGGGAAGTAGAGGGTTAGTATACTGTGTGGGGAAGGGGACACATTTTCTTACTGGTTCCTTCATAGCTCTGGATAGTGGCTATAAATTCTTTGAGGGGTCTACATCTGACTCAGAAGGGAAGAATTGGAGTCATAAATAGTGTTGAGGAGGGTAGATAAGAGTGTTGGGGGACCATTACTCTATACCATTAAAATTACAGACCTGATTAAAAAAAAAAAAAGAAAATTACTAACCAGTTTTAAAAAAGGTCTAGACATATCTTCTAGGGAAGAAGCCGAGTATAATAGTTGAATAAAAAGGAAGATGATTACTGATTTGAAATAAGAGAGCACAAAGGCCATTGACATTTAATAATGTTAATGCCAAATTAATAATCTTTATTTTTGTTATAATCAGTTAAGGCTTAAATAGGGTTTATTATAGCCATATATTATTTTCTTTTGGAAGTTTGATATTTTGACAATAATTTTATAGCCAAAATGTCTAAGACATCTTAATTGCTAGTTTCTAGTGTCATGTGATGTCTTAGTATGCAGTATTTTGAAATTTCTGTGAAATCTAATATGGATAATAAAGTATAAAGTTTACAGAGCAGTGATTTATTTTGTTAGTGATTTTTTTGAAAAATAAACTTACTTTAGCCATGTGATTTTTTGTGACCTGTTTTTTAGAATTAATTTTTTCTATGAATAATCATTAATTGTATTTCTCTTTTATCTATTTTCCCCCTTCCAAAGAAAAACAAAACCCTTATAAGAAATATTGAGTCAAGTAAAACAAATGTATGTCTCCTTCTGCGTATTGAGTGTATCACTAGTTTGTCAGGAAGTGGATAACATTCCTTATCATTGGTACTCCGGAATCATGATTGGTCATTGTATTGATGAGAGTTCTTAAGAATCTTTGGAACTTATTTGTTTTTTACACTGTTGTTTTTATTCTGTATAACCTATATACCCTGGTTTTCTCTTCCAGAGCCATACCTGTTACATTGCCCCTCTGGGTTCCAGGGTACCCTGGAGGTTGGAGAGAGTACTCCTTTCCCCTGCTGCCACTGGCTTAATCCCTCCCTGTCTGTATTCTCCCTCTCAATGTTTGGGGGTCTAGAACCCCAATTCTATTTAATCCCTTACACTAGGTAGTTTGTATAAAGGGATGGCTTCAAAGACACAACTAAAACAGACATACAAACATTTCCCCTTAGTACCTCCAGGGCATACTTTTCCTCATACCACCATAGTCTCTGGGAGAGTAGGCTCAAAATGCAGCACAGTTCCTATATAGCATTGGTACCACCAAGTTCATGTCCAGTGGTGACATTGCTGCTGGATGAATCCTCATTTCAGCTTTCATTAGCATGGGTCTAGAAAGTCACTTTTGAAGATTGCTGCTTGATCCTTGAAGCATCATCTGTCCTGAGTCAGTTGCAGTATCTGACCTTGCACCCAGGCTCTAGAATGCTGGGATGCTAGAGCAACATCATGATGAATTCACTTGATCATGAGGTTCCACTCCTTTCACCAAGAAGAAAAAAGTACAAACAACAAAGCCCAGGACAAGGCCTCTTTCTTGGGGTCTATATGGCCTCAGAAGGGAGAAGGCCCTAAAGCTTCTACCTTACTGAATCATTTCTTATCAGATTCCTTGAGTTATAAGAGTTTCGAGGTCTCCCAGTCTCGAATGAAGCAAAGAGGAAGTAGCTGGTGCTGACAAATGTTTTTGAAAAGGCTAACAGTTTTGTCTATGTAGCTGATTGAAAAAGACTCATCTCACTTATGTGGCTAACCAACCAGAAACAGTTACAAAATGTCTGTGCATGCTCCACAGTCTCTTTGAGGCATTTTACTTATACGTTGTAATGATTCTCCTGGGAGCAATTGCTTGAGTGTCCTTCTTCTAGACAGGTTGAATCAGCCAAGTAATCTGATGGGATCTGTGCTGTTACATGTATACATTAATCTCCTCCTTCTGGTCACTTCATTCTTCATCAGTTTATACGAGTCTTTTCAGGTTTCTATCATTTCTTGCAGCATAGTAGTATTCTATTACATTTATATACCAGTATTTATTCAGTTATTCTCCAATTGATGGGCTTTTCTTTCCACCCCCTCTAGTTTTCAGTTTTTTTCCACCATGTGGTTTTTATATAGTTTATGTGAGTGATTTGTATGTGTTAAAATTTGTATTAACTTAATAATTATGTATTAATATTCAGTGACCTTATCTTTTTAAAATTATCTTTTATTTTGTCTATTACCTTCATTTCTAAATGTCACTTCTTTCATCTTGAATCTGGAGGAAACAAAACAGTTTAGTGAAATGAATCAAAGATATCTACCTATGTCTGATAGCACTTGCAATACTCCATACCTATAACCCTTGTACTTTGCAAAGAAGGGAGGGAGCGTGCCTTGAGTTTTAAAAACTATGCTTAAGGCCCTGGACTGTGGAGTGGTGTTCACTTGAGTTGGTGGAGAAAAGGCAGGGACTTTCCTGAGTTCTCCCCCAAACTCCTCCAAACAACTTTAAATAATGCTTCAAAACAAATTCTAGAGCAGCAGATCCCACAAAAGGATGGGGTGAAACAAATTTCCAGCCAAAGACAACTTAGAGTGTCAGCAGGCAAAGTCTGTTGCACCAGGGTGAGAGTGGAATGCTGTCTGATGCAGTCTGTATCCCAGAAAACTTTGGGGGCGAGTAAATCAATGGTCGCAGTGGTGGTTTCTAGACGTCTCAGTCCACAGATGGTTAAGGGGGTCAGACAATTGGACAGAGGAAAAGCACAGGAGTCCCTTTACTGGCACTGGGGACAAATATCTATTGTATTGCCCATATTTGGATCTGAGTCTCAGTCCTAGGCCAAGGAGAAGCACTAGCACACAGAGCTTGTGGCCGCAGGGGAGCTGGGAGGCTGGTCACAGTTCCAGGGCAAAGAAGAGTGCTTGTGGTTGTTCACAGACCAGAACATAGGCCAGGAGAACAGTGACCATACCTCTTCTTAGATCATACCACGTTGGAAGAACCGAAAACTTACAGGTTCCCAGAGTTATCTTTGAAAATAGCTGTACAACAAACCTGAAGCTTGAGGCATGCCCTCCTCCATTCTAGAAGCAGAACCCCACTTTAGTATAGAGTTAAAAGTCAAGAAATAGGCTGGAAAAATGAGTAAACAGCAGAAAAAGATCTATACAAAGTTACTATGGTGACAGGGAAGATCAAAACATAAGCTCAGATGGAGACAACAAAGTCAAAACTGCTATCTTCAAAGCCTCAAAGAAAAATATAAATTGCCCTCAGGCCATGAAAGAGCTCAGAAAGGATTTTGAAAATCAAGTTAAGAGAGGTAGAGGAAAAATTGGGAAGAGAAATGAGAGTGATGCAAGAAAATCATGAAAAAAAGAGTCAATAGCTTGGTAAAAGGAGGCACAAAAAAGATACTGTAGAAAATAACAACTTCTAAAACAAAATAGGCCCAATGGTAAAAGAGGCATAAAAATCCAATGAAGAGAAGAACACCTTGAAAAGTAGAATTGGCCAAATGGAAAAGGAAGTACAAAAGCTCACTGAAGAAAATAGTTCTTTAAAAATTAGAATTGGGTAAGTGGAAGTTAAAAATTATGCTTAAAAAATTAGCTGACTTAAATATTCAATTTAAATTCTAAGTTTTAAAAATTTTTGTAAGACCAAATTCTATAAACAAACATACTTTTTAATATGATTCTTTTCACCATTATTTTTTTTTTTATTTTTATTTTTTGGCAATTGGGGTTAAGTGACTTGCCCAGGGTCACACAGCTAGTAAGTGTCAAGTGTTTGGTCTGAGGCCGGATTTGAACTCAGGTTCTCCTGACTTCAGGGCCTGTGCTCTATCCACTGTGCCACCTAGCTGCCCCCTTCACCATTATTTTTGGTATGTGAGGAAATAAGGGAAAGGATTTGACTAGATGATCACTCAGATCTCTTGCACATATGATAATTTTAAAAAGTTGTCAAGATTGCAGATTAATTTTTTTTTTTCTGAGCTTGTGGTTTCTTTGGTGTAAAATCTCCCCATTGTAGGAGCACCTTGTACTGATGCAGATAGGCAACTTACCTATAATTTATGGTAATTTATGTAATTTATGCCTCAGGTACTGAGAAGGGCGTTGCCCATATATACTCAGCTGTCAATCAGAAACAAGATTTGAACTCAGACCTTCCTGACTTGGAGGCCAATAGATAAACATTATGCTACATTTCTGTATTTATTTATATTTATATTTTATTTATATTTTTATAGTGGAAATGAGGCAATATCATCACTGTTTGAAACTTTTTTTAGGTAACCTGATACATGTAGTACACAATGGTGACAAAAAATAATGGAATACTAGCTGTTTTGTCAGGATCACAGTATAGAAAATGAAAATCCTTGATTACTGAGGAAAATTATTGAAAATAAAATAGTTAAAAGAAAATAAATAACTTGTTAATATAATAACGATATTTGTATACCATGCCTTCTCCTTTTTAAGCACTTTTGTTTTTTAAAATTTTTTTGATACCTTTTGTTTTTACATCATTTATTTCCATATATGTATGTATATTTATGTATGTATGTGCATATGTATATATAAATATATATGTGTGTGTGTGAGAGACCCTTCCCCTACCTAGCAAAGTATACCTTGTAACAAACATTGAAAAAAAAAACAGAAAAAAAAAATTCAGCAGAACTAATGAATCACATTAATCGAGTTTGACAGTATATGCAGTGATCTACCCTCATAATCTACTTCTGCACTAAAAGGAGGGAGATATGTTTAAGGACTCTTTAGAGCAATTTATGTTTATTTTCTTAAATGTGTCTGGTGTTGTATATACTTAATAAACAGGGAATGTAACTAGTAAGTACAGAAATAACATGAATAAATTCTTTTTAGAGTAAATTTTTATAACATTTGTCTTCAGTATTTTTGTGGTGATTTTTTTTTAATTTGCATTGATGCAATCATTGTGTATATTATTTTCCTAGCTTTGCTTACTTCATAATTCATCCGAGTCTTTCAATTTTCTATACTCATCATGTTTGTAGTTCTTACTGAAAAGTAATATTCCATTAAATTCATCTTCCAAAATTTGTTTAGCCATTCCTTAATCGATAGGGCAACTATTTCTAGTTCTCTATTATCACGCTATAATTATTTTGGTATATCAATTTTATTTTTGTTACTAATTTCCTTGGTATATGTGTCTACTTTTGAAATTTCTGGGTCAAAGGAAATGGATATTTTAGCCACTTAATTTGTATAATTCCAAATTACTTTCAATAATAGTTGTACTAATTTACAACTTTTACCATTCTAGCATCTGTCTTTCTATACCACTTCCAACAGTGACTGTTTCCATTTTTTATCTTTATCAATTTATTTGATATGAAGTGAAATTTCATGGTTGTTTTGATTTGAATTTTTCTTATTATTAGTGATTTGGAGCATTCTTTCATGTAGTTGTTAATATTTTGCTATTTCTTTTTTGGAGAACTATTCATTAATATCTTTTAATTACTTAGCTGTTTGGAGGAATGGCTTTTTGTCTTTTATGTATTCGTATTGTCTATATCTCTTGGATACCAAATCCTTAGGAGAGATATTTGATACAAATATTTTTTCTCATTCATATGTGTTCCTCCTTATCCTAAATGTATAAATTTTAATACAAATAAATTCTAGAACACAGTATATCATGAGCTTAAATGCAGTCACAGTGTTTCATGAGCTTCAATTTCAAATAATAAACTTTATAAATTTAGTGACTGATGTAATTTGTTATATCATCCATCTCTATTTTTATTGTGATATTAATTTCTACCCCTTATTTAATTGTTTGGAAATGACTGTCATATAATCACACATTAAGACTTTTTTCCCACAAGAGATCACTATCAATCATTTGAAAAAATTTGGCTTGTAAAATTAGCTTATTGCTTACTCTTGCTATACAGTGTCTTTTGGGAGAGTTTTTTTATCCTTATTTTGACTAAGGCCATTTTATGACACAATCTTATTCTTTTATATAATTGAATTATTATCTTTGAGCCTGAAATGAAATTGACTTCCCCAGGTCACAAACATCAATGAGAAATCATTAACTTTATCTTTTTTAGAATATGAAAACTGAAATGATTTTTTTAAACATAGCAGAGATGAAAACCATTGTAGAATGCCTCATTTGGCTTTATGAAAGCCAAACCACAAATTTATTTTTAATTCCGAATAAAAGAACAAAAAATCATGAAAATAATTTGGAATAAAATGTAGGTTAATAGTAACGTAGGAAGAGATGCTAATTATAGTGAAAATATTATTTAGTTTTTAGGTGAAAATTAGAAGCATTAAATGAATAATTTAATAATTTATTCATAAGGAAATGTGCATAGTTTATAGGTAGTTTTCATTAGCTTATGTTGAGTAGCATATATATGTATTAGAATAGTTGAACCACTTGATGTCAGTGTTGCTTCAAAAACCTAAAAAAAAAACAACAAAACTTGTCCAAGAGGAATAATAGTAACGTGTCACATAGGATGAATGTTTGTAGGTGGAATTTTTGGGAGATCCTCAGTTTGTTATGATTTAGGATCTACTTGTTACTGCTCCACTCCCTCCCTTTTTGCCAAAAAATACAGAATGAGATCATTGGAGGTGGGAGGCAAGCTCTTAAATTGCAACTGCAGTAACTTGGTGCTAAGATAATCTTTTTTAACCAACTCACTGTATTGTGACCAAATTAATCTACTGGAAAACACAACTTGTTCTAGTTGGTAAAGAGACAGAGAGCACATAATGGGCTTTGGTGTGCCTTTACAAAGATTGAAGACAAGGTATAATTATTTTTTCTTTTTACTTAGATTTTTAGAGCAAGGAATCTGTAGGTATGGTGCTCAGTGTACATCAGCCCATTCCCAGGAAGAGCTAACTGAATGGCAGAAAAGATATGCATCAAGACTGATAAAATTGAAACAGCAGAAAGAAAGCAAACAGTTTTCTGGAAGTTACATGGAAACCTTGATAGAAAAATGGATGAATTCACTGTCTCCTGAGAAAGTGGTGAGGAAAATAAGTGTTCGTATTTTTCTATTTTAATCACAAATTTGTTTGGATCTTGACTTTTTCATATACACTTTGTCCATAAAAATAGTAAGTGGACTTCTGAATGAAGCTTCCTGGTGTAGTGCAAAGAGCATTGTGTTTGAAGTCAGAAGACCTGGATTCAGACCCTGACTCTTACATGGACTGTGCATCTGGGGCATACATAAGTCATGTCACTGTCAGTTTTCTCCTTTATGAATGGGAATGATGATGTTTACACTACTTATCTCATTAAGTGGTTGTGTGAATCATATGAGATAATATATATATGAAACTTTGTAAACTTTGAATGTGGGCTGCTGTCGTTAAAAAGAAGATATTTTTAGACTGAAAATAAAATAGGTGTCTGTTTTTGATGGTGCAGCCTTAGTTCAGCCATTTGGAGTTTGTGAGTTATTAAAATATTTTTCATGTATTCTTCTTTTAGGGCATATATAATTGTCAATTTTTTGTTAATGTTTTTCATGTACTTTGGTTTATTGCATTCAATTTGTATGATAGAAACATGATCCCAGTGCACAGAATTTCTTAAGTAATTATTATACAACATTTAGCAGTTTCAATGTTGAAGCAGATTCACTAGGCTTGATTATTTTTGACAGTAGATATGTAACATTAGTTAATTTCTTTTTAATTCCAGCTTAGTGAATGTGTAGAAGGTGTGTGGGTAGAGCATAATCCAGACCTATCTCTTACTGTCACCACCAAAAAGTCTCATCAGACATGGACATTTGCTCTCACTTGTAAGGTATGTTTTTTGGTGTTGCTTTAAAACGAATTAATGTTGATAAGGATATTGTTCATTTACATTTTTGTTAAAAGATCATTAATTTTCTAGTGGAAATGTAGTGTTATATATATGCTTTATTTCACCTTTTTAAAAAAACAAATATGAATTGTATTTTGGTCATTAAAACTACATTAAACCCTTTTGTTAGGCTTTGAGACAATAGCTATTGAGGATTTAAATGTGTATGTATATGTGTGTATATATTTTTTTTTTCAGTGGTTAGGGAAGTTCTTTACTATATTATTTAATGTATCACTTCTTAAACTTAGTACATTGGAGGGATTTATTGTTTATTATGACCTAAACTCTATCTTGAGAGTTGTTGAATTGGCCATTGTGGGGCATGAGAAGAATTACAACCTGTTTTTATAGTTGGTGAAACCATTGTCCTGTTAAACTGTGTCATGGTGTCAATAAGATACATTGTAATGAGAATGTGGTACATGAGGGATGTGTTGCTGCAGTGTTTGTCTTCCTAAATGGTAATTTTTAGGGTTAAAATTGAGTAAAAGCAAACAGTTTCTTTGAACATGCACATTGAAACAACTTTGTGTTATTCCTTGGTGGATTTTATTCTACTGTATTGTCTCATACCATACCTGGGTGTTCTGAGTACATAAGCCTTGGCTATGAAACCTCCTTCACTGCTCAGAAATGACTCTTACGTATTGCAGACTCTGCTGTTGGGAAGAGAATAGGAAAAGGGAATGGAGGACCTGAAGAACAGGTGACTGGAGAATTACTGGGGTAGCAATGAAAGGTCCAAGCAATATGTCACAAAGAGATCACTTTATAACAGTTATTTTTATCATTCTAATTTTTATTCAGATAGCTTATTTGTAAAATTTATAGTTTTAACACATTCACGGGATATGGGAAAATTAAAGTTTTCTGTGGAAATAACTTGAATACTGATTTAAAATTGGATTTTGTACTCAATAAAATGTTACCTTTCTTGTAGCCTGCAAGAATGCTGTATCGAGTAGCATTGCTTTATGATGCTCATCGTCCTCATTTTAGTATCATTGGAATATCAGCTGGAGACAGTACTACTCAAGTATCACAGGAAGTCCCAGAAAATTGTCAAGAATGGATAGGAGGGACGATGGCTCAAAATGGATTAGATCATTATGTGTATAAAGTTGGGATAGCATTTAACACGGAGATATTTGGAACTTTTCGCCAAACCGTAGTTTTTGACTTTGGATTGGAACCAGTGCTCATGCAAAGAGTGATGATTGATGCTGCTTCTACAGAAGGTAATATTTAGCCCTCTGGTAGGAGACCTTTAGTAATTCTATTAAAAGAAATGTGTTGGTTTGCAAATGTTCTGTAAGTAGGTGATAGTTGAGATTAGGGATTCCAAATTAATTGAAGCATTTCTTACATAATCAATAGGACTAGTATTGTAGAATTAATAAGGTACATTTTTGCCCTGTTCCCTTGATGCAAAGAGTCATTATGCCTGTCTTTCTTTCAGAATTCTAAGGCTTCTGTGAGTAGAGGATTATGTTATGTTATGTATTAACTTTTATCTATTATCTTTTAAATATATAGATTATTACAGTAATTATTTTAAAATATTACTACTAGCAGTATTCATTAAAATAGTAGTCTATTATATCTAGTTTTATATTACAGGAGGAATTCTATGTTGTGGATGACAATTCATGCTAACAGTTTTTGCTGATGTAGATAAAAGAAATTATTAGTGAAGAACGCTGCATAATATATGCTATTCCCTGTGCCAGAGACAATCTAAAAAGCGATTTTGTTCTTGTGGTATGGAATTTGTGTACATCAAGTTTATTTTAATGCCTGTATGGTGTTTAATATTTAAATTGAATTTGGCATGTTTTATAAAATGTATTTTTGGGGAGGTTTTATAAATTGGGGTCGCATAAAAACACAAAGTACAAGGTAGAGTGGCTAATGGCAGTGCTCAATCAAAGTATCTGGGGGTTATTGATTTGTGGCATGAAGGATTGATATGGCTTAGTTTTCTCAGTGATTTATCACTTAACTGATACATCCTGAACACAGTGAGGAACATTCTGATATTCATTCAGTGACCTACTCAACAAACATTAGAAACAGATTTTAATGAAAGAATAAAATTTTTAAGATTCTTTGTCCTGCTGAAGTAATTAATTGTAAATTATTTTGAAGGTAAAAAGAGAGATGGGCCAGGAACAACGGGAACTTAAAGCATTTGGATTTAGATAAAGTAACCAGGCTTTCCAGTTTGATTTTAATATTGCTAATTTTAGATATCCTTGATTTGGGTATTGAAAGAATCCTAACGAAGAGCAACTCTTTAGTTTTGCTAGGGCAATGAGGGAGTATCTAATACAAAGGGGTTTAAAATCCAAGAAACTTTAAGAGTCTTTTTAACAGGATCAGTTCTGTGCTCCAGGAAAAGAATTCTAGGTACTAGGCCCCTGAAAATCAGGGCAAATTACTTTGTTGAATTTTCATATCCCAGCTAGCTTAGACATTTCAATTTATAGTGTACCCATATGTATTTAATATTTTATATTTCTTTCAGAGTTTAAAGCTCAAGTACCCATAATGACCAGAAAGCACAATTTATACCATTGACATGTCTATGAAGAAAAATATCAGATTTACAAATGATTTATGTTCTAAAAGTTTTCAAGTTGGTTGTTTGAAAACATTTTCTTATAGAAACAGTGGTATAGATGTAGACATGTTCAACTCAATACGTCCAAAGCTGAACTCATTAATTTTTCCCCAAACCTTCCCCAACTTCCCTACTATTGTCAAGGGTACCATCATCTTCCCAGTCACACAGGCGTCCTTGACTCTTCACTCTTATCTCCCGTATTCAATCTGTTGACAACTCTTGCCAATTCTGCCTTTGTAACATTCCTTGCATATGCCCCCTTCTGTCTTATAACACTGCCACTGCCCTAGTCTAGGCTCTTTTCACTTTTGCCTGGACTACTGTAGCAGCCTCTGGTTGGTCTACCTGCCTTAAATCTTTTCCCACTTTCAATCCAGCCACCACTCAGCTGCCAAATGATCTTAATATGCAGATATAACCATCTCTCTCCCTACCTCCCTCCCTCCCTCTCTCTCTCTCTCTCTCTCTCTCTCTCTCTCTTTCTCTCTCCCTCTCCTTCCCCTCTATTTAATAAACTTTAATGACTTCCTATAAATTTTAGGATCAACTATAAAATCCTCTGTCTTTTAAAGCCCTTCTAAACCTGGCCCATTCTTACTTTTCTAGTCTTCTTACACCTTTCCTCCCATGTACTCTGAGACTCACTGACACTGACCTCATTGCTGTTTTTTGCACAAGATACTCCATCTGCTGACTCTGGACATTTTTACTGGCTGTCTCCCGTACTTAGAATTCTCTCCTTCTTTATACCCGTCTCTTGATTTCCCTGGCTTTATTCAAGTTCCAGCTAAAGTCTCATCTTCTACAGGAAGCCTTTTCCACTCTTTTAGTGCCTTCCTTCTGTTGATTATCTCTAATTTGTTTTGTATATAGTGAGTTTGTACATGATTGTTTGCATGCTATCTTCCTTACATGCTATCTTCTTTAGACTGCGAACTTCCTTGAGAGCAGAGAATGTCATTTGCCTTTCTTTGTATCTCTATCATCCAGCACAGTGCTTAGCACATTGTAGGTGCTTCATAAATGTTTATTTAGTGACAATGTAGATATTTCTTCATTGAAATAACATGTAAAGTGCTTTGTAAATTATAAAGCAATATATAAAAGCAGGTTATTATTACTATAATTACCATTATTATTATAATTTTCATTTTATCTTGCACTGGTATATATTGCAGCCCTTTCAAATTTTAGTAGCCCTTTGTAAATTGCTGTAGCAAGAAAAAAAAATCAACTACTAGATGATGAACTCCTCTTCTTTCCCCCATCCCCACCAAGAGGGAAGGAGAAAGATTTTCCTGAGATAAGTAGGTAAAAATTAGAAAAATGGAAAGGGGAATAAACATGTGTGATTGAGATAGTGCTTAAGGTGGTAATAAAAGACCTCTGTGGAAGCTGTGGTTAGTGTCCTAATGAAGTTCAGGGAGGCTTGACACCAAAACTTCTGAGTGATGAATATATTTTGCCACAGTTATAAAATAGAATGCTAGCTTCCCGGACGCAAAGAGATTTCTGTTTTTTTTTTTTGTTTGTTTGCTTTTTTGTTTGTTTTGTTTTTGTTTTTGTAATCCTAGAACTTTGAACTGTACTTTGCTGACAGTGGGCACCTAATACATTATTGTTGAATTAAAATGAATAAAGATTGAATTGTAGAGGGCTGGATATCTTAGCTGATGGAGAGAATGTTTCTTGATAAAATCCTAGATGTCTTGATGTATTGAAATGAGAGCTATGAAAAACATGAATAATGGAAGGACCATAATGCTCCTATCCTGCCATTGTGGAGAAAGATAGACTGTGGTAGGGCAGAGATTGGGTTACAAAGTTCTTGATGCTGACCACTAGGGGAGGAGACAGTGAGTTGTATGTGCCTAGTGCGTTAACAAATTGGGTGTTAGTAACTTTGGAGGAGGGCCTGTATATCTAAATATAATATAAACCCTCTTCATTTCTTCAATATGACATTTTGGAAAAACGTGACCAATGTTATTATATTCAAATAAAATAAATTAAAACTTCTCTTTCTGCTGCTTTGGTCCCAGGCAAACACTACTTTTGCACAGCACATTGTCCCTCACCCTCACTGAGCACTTTTTCAGGTTGCTAGCTGCCCCCAATATGATGGGACCAGGTGTCCTCAGAGTTGGTTTGGTTGGAAACGTTGTCCAAAATGGGAGTTAAATTCCATCAGAAGTCAAATGCCAGAATGAGAGATCAGTATTCAAGAAGTAAGAGATAGTTGAAAAGAACTTTGAGAAGAAAGCTCAAGTTTTTTTGTTTAGTAAATGTGATTTGAGTATTTTTTCTCTCTTTCCAAGGTAGACTTTTTTTTCCTACTTAGTAGTATTTTTTTTTCAAATTACATGTAAAGATAGTTTTCGACATTCACTTTTATAAGATTTTGAGTTCCAAATTTTTCTCCCTCCTTTCTTCCACACCCCCTCCCCAAGATAGCAAGCAATGTGATAGAGGTTATACATGTACAATCGTATCATATTTCCACATTAGTCATGTTGTGAAAGAAGAATCAGAACAAAAGGGAAAAACCACAAGAAAGATAAAAAACCAAAAACAAAGTGAAAATAGTATATGCTTCAGTCTGCATTCAGAATCCATAGTTCTTTCTCTGAATGTGAATAGCATTTTCCATCATGAGTCTTTTTGAATTGCCTTGGATCATTGTATTGCTGAGAAGAGCTAAGTCTGTCATAGTTGATCATAACACATTGTTGCTGATACTGTGTATAATATTCTCTTGGTTCTGCTCACTTCATTCAGCATCATTTCATGTAAGTCTTTCCAGGTTTTATAGCACAGTAGTTTTCCATTACATTAATATACCATAATTTGCTTAGTCTTTCCTCAGTTGATGGGCATCCTCTCAATTTCCCATTCTTTGCCACCACAAAAATATTTTTTGTACATGTGGCTCCTTTTCCCTTTTTTATGATCTTTTTGGGTTACAGACTTAGAAGTGGTATTGCTGGATCAAACGGTATGCACAGTTTGATTGCCCTTTGGGCATAGTTCCAAATTGTTCTCCGGAATGGTTGGATCAGCTCATAACTCCATCGCCAGTGCATTAGTGTTCCAATTTTCCCACATCTTCTCCAACATTTATCATTTTCCTTTTTTGTCATATTAGCCAATCTGATAGATGTGAGGTAGCATCTCAGAGTTGTTTTAATTTACATTTCTGTAATTAGAAGAAAGGATAGGGGCAGCTAGGTGGAACAGTGAATAGAGCTTCAGCCTTGGAGGTGTCAGGAGGGGCCTCAGACACTAGACACTTACTAGCTGTGTGACCCTGGGCAAGTCACTTAACCCCAACTGCCTCACCAAAAAGCAAAAAAAAAAAAAAAGAAAAAAAGGATAAAGATGACAAGACACTTTATGTGATTGATTAAAGTAGTTCCAAACAACTTATTATGACAAGTTGGAAAAGTAGGATGAAGGTTAGGATTCAAACCATTTCTTAGAGAAGTTTAACCACATGTGTGCATACAGAGGCCAAAAACAGCTCAGAAACTCCCTGAGCCAGCAAGAACTTGGTTTCTTTGTCAAGCTGAGGGACATAGCAGCTAAGGAAAACAGCATTCTAAATGAATGCAA